TGTAGTAAATCCACATGTACTTAATAGAGTGGTGATTGGCCAGTTCATAGTACAGTGTGATCCCCTGCAGACAATCTTTATTTTTTGGTCCTAGTAAATCCACATGTACTTAATAGACTGGTGATTTACCAGTTTCTAGCACAGTGTTATGCACTGCAGACAACCTTTATTATTGGCTCTTAGTAAATCCATATGTATTTAATAGAGTGGTGATTGGCCAGTTCATAACACAGTTTAATGTACTGCAGACAACCTTTATTATTGGGTTGTAGTAAATCCACATGTACTTAATAGATTGGTGATTGGTCAGTTCAAACCACAGAGTGATGCACTGCAGAATTCCTTTATTATTGGGTCCTAGTAAATCCTCATGTATTTAATAGACTGGCCAGTTCATAGTACAGAGTGATGCACTGTACAAAACCTTTATTATTGGGTCCTAATAAATCCCCATGTACTTAATAAAGTGGCTCTTCACCTTTCTACTGTCCATTAGATGTTGGTTCTGGTGTTGATTGTGTTAGAGGTGTGCACCTGCGGAGGCAGGATCTTGGTATGGAAGCTTAGCTTCCTTGCTGGTACCTGTTCTGGAGGTTAAAGGTAGAGGGCCCTCTTCCTATAGCAGAACCAATCTACAGTTCCAGATGCTGCCAGCTGTTGGTTGAGGTCGAACTCCCCTTTATGATCTGTCACATTCTAGCCACTTTACACTGAGGGATCCCATTATTTCTGTAACATTTCATGGTGTTCCTTTTTATGTTTCTGTCCTTTTGGTGACACATTACTAATGGGCAAAGAGTATACCTGGCTCAGAAGTGGTGCAGTCTCACACAGGTGTGTAGTTTTTAGTTCCTTCTCACACCCCATGGTTTTCCTTTGGGTGCTTCCTAAAGGGGGAATATCTCACTGGCCTTTCTCCTGTTCAATGTGGGATTCTAGCTTTTTGTAGAAGAGGTAAGATATAGTTTTGGAACTTAAACATTTTCCTAAATTGAAAATGTATTTCCTATAGATACTTGCCTCTTTTCACATTTTCCACCCATTCTTTCCACTTCTGGTGTGGTTTGTGTAATCTGACCAATCTCGAAGTGGGTAACAGCTACAAGATTAGAAAGAGCACTAATTCAGATAGGGGTAGTGTCGCACTCCTATTGGTGGAGGGTTGCTGTATAATCATGTGCATATTAGTATACAGACATCTCTTGTTAACATACATGAGGGTAAGTGGGAGTATCAAGGCTAGTGGCAAGCAAAAATTTGCACCGATAGAGGGCAGTATGAGTTGAAATTTTTTTTGAGAGGAGGTAAGTATTTATCGGAAATAAATTTTCAATTTAGGAAAATGTTAACTTTAAATATACAAAAGGAAATAATTGTGTGTCTGTTTCTCTTCTAATCTTATGTATATTTCAAATAAATGATATTAATTACATATATTTATTTTTGATTTTTGTGGGTATGTGATGATATTAAACATAAATGATCTTATTTATTATTTGTAATCCCTTTTGATTTTAGATCCAAAGACATATGAAAAAATCGACAGTGGAGATCACTTGAAAGAACTTCAGAGTATAAGTACTGGTGACAAAAAACACATTTGTATAGTTTGTGGTAAAAGATTTATAAGTGAAAGTATCCTAAGAAGTCACAAGAAGTTGCACTCTGTGGAGAAACCTTATAGATGTACAGCATGTGGTAGAGGATTTACACGTAAAAGTAACTTAAAAAGTCATGAGAAGATACACACTGGGGAGAAGCCGTACAGGTGTGCAGATTGTGGAAAAGGATTTTTGAGTAAAAATGGTCTAAACATTCATAAGAAGATACATACTGAGGAGAAGCCATACAGTTGTGTTGTATGTGGTAAACAACTTCAGACTAAAAGCAAACTTGAAATACATGAGAAGATACACACTGGGGTGAAACCGTATATTTGTTTAGTGTGTGACAAAGGATTTTTAAGCTACAATGGTCTAAAAATTCATGAGAAGATACATACTGGTGAGAAGCCATACAGTTGTGTAGTTTGTGGTAAACGATTTGTAAGTAAAAGTAACTTGAATACACATGAGAAGATACATAGTGACAATAAGCCATACAGTTGTGTAGTATGTGGTAAACAGTTTGTAACTAAAAGTAAAATAAAGTGCCATGAGCGTCTACACACTGGAGAGAGGCCTTACAGCTGTTTATTATGTGGCAAAGAATTTTTAAGTAAAAATGGTCAAACAATTCATGAGAAGATACATACTGGTGAGAAACCATACAGTTGTGTATTATGTTCTAAACAGTTTGTAACTAAAAGTAACTTAAAGACTCATGAGCAGATACACACTGGAGAGAAACCATACAGTTGTGTTGTATGTGGTAAACATCTACGAACAAAAAGGAAACTTGAAATACATGAGAAGATCCACACTGGGGTGAAACCGTATAGGTGTTTAGTGTGTGACAAAGGATTTTTAAGTTACAATGGCCTAAAAATTCATGAGAATATACACACTGGTGAGAAGCCATACAGTTGTGTTGTATGTGGTAAACATCTACGAACAAAAAGGAAACTTGAAATACATGAGAAGATCCACACTGGGGTGAAACCGTATAGGTGTTTAGTGTGTGACAAAGGATTTTTAAGTTACAATGGCCTAAAAATTCATGAGAATATACACACTGGTGAGAAGCCATACAGTTGTGTTGTATGTGGTAAACATCTACGAACAAAAAGGAAACTTGAAATACATGAGAAGATCCACACTGGGGTGAAACCGTATAGGTGTTTAGTGTGTGACAAAGGATTTTTAAGTTACAATGGCCTAAAAATTCATGAGAATATACACACTGGTGAGAAGCCATACAGTTGTGTT